ACACTTTTTCAACCACTACTATTACTACACCACTACGACTGGTAAAAAGGAACATTTAAGAAAATGACAGGAAGTAGTAGAGGTAGCAGGCTGATGATGGTGGGGCATGTTTTTAATGAGATATTGCATAAACAACTTGTTCATGCTTGGTTTTAATTTTAATTCCTATTTAATGGAAACGGCTCAATTGCTAAACTATGTTTTGTCAACCTTTTTTCAGCCCAAAGTTTAGCAAAGGTTGTAATAGAAACGTAGATAGTGGGGCGACAGTGGCGTTGGATGTAGGAGTTTGCCCTGAAATCGAAGGATTGACGGTTCAAGCCCTGACTCCAACTTTCAGTGTTGTTGTGTCCTTGGGCAAGACACTTCACCTGCATTGTCTACTGATGGTGGTCAGAGGGCCCGATGGCGCCAGTGTACGGCAGCCCCGCTTCTTTCAGTGAGCCCCAGGGCAGCTGTGGGTACAATGTAGTGTGTGCGTGAATGTGTGAATGAATGTAGTGTAAAGCGCTTAGGTCTAGTCTCCTGACTTGAATAAAGGCGCTATATAAGTACATGCCAATTACCATTTACCATAGTGTTCTTTGGTATTTCATCAGAAATCTACCGAAACAAGAACATTTTTTCTTTAAATGGCCACTTAAAACAATGAAGCATGGATCCATTAAATGTTAATAAATGAATAAAGTGTTGTTTTATTAAAACTACAGAATGAAATGTGTTTTTCATTTTGACAGTATAATATTTTTTTTTTGTGCAAATTAATGCTCTTATTTGGTAAAACATTTTTTTTTTGAATATATCTTTAAAACTAAACAAAAAAAAACTTAGCCGCAGCCTTTTCCAAAAGATTTGATGAACGGCTGGGACAAAACTACTCCTACATTGATAACTTTATGCCTGTCCTTGTGTTTTTATGTACGCAGTATATCCCACACAAAATAGAACTCTATTAAAGCAGTTCACAACCAGAAAATGTAAACGAGATCAGCTTTTTTTGTACCTTTACACATTAACTAAGGTTTTTTTTTTTTTAGGTGATTTAACTGCTAAATGAAAATCCTTCTATGTTGCCTCATCAACACATTGGATAAAGAGACATTCAGTGCTAAAAAAAAAAATCTAGCTGCTATTCTGTGTTCTTTGCGTTTATTTAGTATTTTGGGGAAAACACTCTCAGACCTCATAATTATAAAATAAATATGACATAATAAAAAGTCTATATCTGACTCAGAACTCTTATTTTATTTGATATAAATTCAATATTTTGATGTTTTATTTCCATAAGCAAATTTTCTATATAAGGAATCCAAAATGAGCCCAAGTAATGCAAAACTAATGGACTGTCAGAGTATAGATAACTACTGTTGTGAATGGTATCGTGATAGAAAGGGAAGGTGTATAGGAACACATTTGTAAAATGAAATGCACTAATATATATTTCATGAATTGTGATGAAAATGTGTGGTTGTATCAGGAGCAAAAGATAGGGAGGCAGACAGGAGGCAGAGTTACTGCAGCAAGGTGAAAGATTTATAAAATAAACAAAACACATCCTACAGTACAGAAAATGACCTCCACATCCATCCTTCAAGCAAGAGGACGGCTTATATTTCCATTTGGGCCACATCAACATTTAAACAAGTAAAAACAATGATATTTATTTATAGTTGGATAATAAAATATAAATATCTGTTTTATAACTATTTTTGTTCATGTTAAAAAAGGAAATGATTACAGAAAATATAAAACTCATAAACTGTCAAATTGTGTACAAAATAAAAAGGTACCTCCGATGCTTATACATTTTTTACATGACAAGTTTTAAATTAAGCAAATGGATCTCCTTTTGAGAGATTTTGGGGGAAAAGTTGCTACAGTGTTCCTATTTTTTTGCGTAAACAAGGATACCAAGAGGAAATATTTGCACACACTTTGCATTTGCCATTGTTCCATTTGTAACCTAAACCAGCTAATAGACCCAGCAGTGATAAAGCCAGTGCTGTCCTGATTTAATATTGATGTCAAAAGTCAATCTATATCAGAAACCAAAACATGCGTGTTAGAATATAACTGCCTGCTTCCAAAATCTGAGATTTTAAAAGCTCATACCAACACTTTACTTTTATCCGCTTTTGTTTGAAGTTTAACTTTTTGGTGAATAAAAAAATGTGTCAGTTGTTCTCATACCTGATGTGGTTAAGCATTGTTCTCAGTTTGAAAAATATCACTTGATCAAGCCTGTTCTATCATTCCAAATAAAATAGGTTAAAGGTTAAATTAAAGGTATAGTGGAGAATTTAACAATTTTTTTAAAAGACCTGCCCTCTCCACTTAAAAAAAAATGCACATGCACAACCCTAATAGGGAACACCAATTATACGCGAGTGAGAGCATGCACAAGCCTATTTCCCCTTGTGCAAGCTCTGTTTAAAAGTTGTTGTTTGCTCATACAAGCTTACTTTTTTAAAAGAAGCTTTGCAATTTTTGTAATATGTCACACTCGCCACCTGTAAGTGAAAACGGGGACGAGCACGTAGGACAGCCTTACGTAAAGATATCACCATGATTGATTGATAATTAGGAGGACCACTAATTTTGATGATCCACCCAGAAAAAGAAAATTCTCCAATATACCTTTAAGTATGAGTGATGCTGATATCGTATTGGGTATATATCGCTATCGGTCATTTCAATGCTGCAGAGCCTGGCTGTGTGTTTCCTGTACCGGGTTGCCTTTCACAGCTGCTTTTTTGTATCTCTGCTTTGTGTCTCCTTGAACCCCAGTCGGCCTCGGCAGATGGCCGCTCACACTGAGCCTGGTTCTGCTGGAGGTTTCTTCCTGTTAAAAGGGAGTTTTTCCTCTCCACTGTCACTACAAGCATGCTTAGTGTGAGGGATTGCATCCGAGTCGATTAGTCGATGCAATCAACTGGTTTTCCTTAGATAGAGAACATGAGAACTTGAAAACTGAGATGACATGTGTTGTGAATTGGGGCTATATAAATAAACTGAATTGAATTGAATTGCAATATCTGTATTAAAGGTAAATAATTCAATTTATGGGTGAAAATGGGCCTATTTTTTACAGCAACACAAACATTTTTTATCCTGAGTGTCTTTTGGTCATATTAAAATACCTATTAAAGTGATGATATTTAGACCTAGATTCATTGGGGTTTTTTAAGGTAGCATCTTATCTTAAAACTCTCAGAGCCATTGTTGTACACCATGGATGCATAAATTGTTGATTTATGTGTAATTATTCAATTATTTACTTTATCCTGCACAAAGAAAGAAAAGTTAAAAATACATAATTGATAGTCTCTGTTAGTGAGAGAAATTTTTAGTTTTCTTTAATGTATCAAACTAACATACAATTGGAATTTATATTTTCAAATGTGCAGCATCAAATACACACAGACAGGAAATTTGGATTTACACCAGTGCAATTACCAGCCAGTGATTTATTGATTAAAGCTGGCTTGAGTTAAACAACAATAAAATGCTGAGTGCAAGCTGGAGAAATTAACATCCAATCCGCTCATTGTTGTACACCCACGTTTGTGTCTACCTTAATCAATAGCAAATGCATCAATGTTGATTATAAAAACTTTATTTGAAAAAGATAATGGATGTGTTGCATTTAAAACCAGAGCAAGCACCCTGCGGCGGTTATGTAAGTCATTCTGTCCCCCCCACCAGCAGCCCTGACTCAGGTAGTGACTGGAGATAGCTTTAGCCGATTAAAACCTCCACACTTGCCACAGCTGCTGCTGTAATCTGAGTTTTACTTAGCAGAACCTAGTGGTCAGATGTGTGTGGGCGTAGGATTACAATGATGGCTCCGGGTAAATTCCCCAGGGCTTTGGGCAAAATGTGACGAACCGCTAAGAAGGACAAAGCCCTGTGTTTTGTGTCCTGTAAATCCCAACGAATGAAATCTCTCTTGAATTTCCATCATCTTTTGAAATATATTTTGAGGGACCGCGACTATATCCATGAAATTCAGTAAAAGCAAAAAACTTCATTCCAGCATCCTGTTTTATCATCTTTATCTGCTCCACATGAGGCAAAACATGAAAGAAATATTTCTGTTTCATGAATGTAAGACAACAGGATAAATAGCTTGAGTGAAGCAAATGAAAACATGGTTCTTTTACTTTTTAGTTCTTTTTTTTATCAAAGATGAAGCAAATGCAAATAAAGGTTATTTTTTAAGGCAGACCAATGGTGTAATAGATGACATGGAGAGGTCAAGTGGGAAAAGAGTACACTGGAAATGCTTCATTTGGCTGTAAATATAAGAAACTAATGTAATAATAAAAATATGAATCCTATTTAGAGGAGTAAAGATATATACATATAAAATTTGATTTTTATCATCTACCTTCAGTGAATTCATGACTTGCAGTCATGTATACATGCTGTCATTTATAGGTGGATTATAACACATCAACAAAATAAAACAATCAAAGCAGTTCTTAAATTCAATCCAAACATTGAAGCTGATAGATTGTTTAGATGCATATTAAGATATTTTAAGTGTGTATTATTTTGTTATGTTTACAATTATGCCCAACAGTAAATCAAAGCAGACGAATGCAGTCAATGACTTATTAAACTCTATGGGCTGTTTGACTGTTGCTTCACAATGCTCTTAAGGTTAAAATTATAAATGAAGGTTAAAATTAAAAATGTTGCACGGCTCTTTTTTTGGGGTCGCAATATTGCCTTCATTTGAAACGTAGGGTTTTTAATAAAATAAAAAAACTTTTTGGCTTTCCTCCCTTGTGAACGTATTGGTGAATATTTGTTGTTAAGTCAACAGCCCTCATAACTGTTAAGGCCATAACACAGGCAAAAAAAAAAAAAATAAAATACTAACTTTCTTAATACATCAAAGACATAATCACACATTAAAAGAAATAACTCCTGGAGGTTTTTTTTTTTTTAGTCTCAACTTTCCTTGATATTTTGTCTCTGTTTCTTTTCTTTAGTGTTGAATTGGACTTCAAGCTGCAGGAGGACAAGCTCCAGCCACTGATGAAAAGACTTTGTCCACCAACAGACTCCCACTTCCCTCCCCTGCCTTATCCCCAGGAGGCCTTTACCTCCACCCCAAAACGAAAGTCTAAAGCTGAATCCAAGAAGCATGCCCGCTGGAAACTTTGGTTCCTGTGAGAGATACAAGTCCCTCTCCAACTGACACAGGATTTAAATGAATCACTATTTGGGTTTTACCACCTGCAGGATTTTATAAACCTGGTGGGCACCTTCAGTGGAGATCCCTGGAAACACCAAGGTGGCAGGAAGAGAGATAGAAGCGTTGACGGCATGGATGATTCTTTTTCAACGAAAATGGAATAAGTCATACCTTTGCCTAATTTCCTGAAACAACAGCAGGGAAACATTTTCAGAGATCAGCAAAGAAAGGAGACGGATTTACTTGCTACTATCCCTTGGCTTCTATTTTTTCTAACTGATAGAGACCTGCTTCTGTCTCATGTTGACGGAGAAACTTTCGCCATATTTCTGTTTAGCTGTTTGGGCTGTTCTCTTTCTTCTCAGCCTCCAGGAGACGCTGGCCGCTCAAGGCTGACGTTCCAAGGCCTCCATAAACAGCATATCATTGTACTTCGAAGCACAATTTATACTTTTCAGGATTCCATACCTCTAAAAATAAGCAGACTAATTTCATCAGCTCTCACCAACTATCCAGGATGGCATACGGATTCTGATTTTCAAAAGACTAAGAAAATACATCAGAGAGGGTTTTTTCCCCCAGAGTATAAACCTTTTCCATGACAAAATGTGTCATAACATCATCGGACATCTGAGAAAATAATGAATAAATGACACTTATTTTCTTAATAACAATGGTAAATTAAATGTCACTCTACTTTTTTTCTATATAAATATATATATCTATGTATACACTCACATTAAGGTTAAGAGAATTCTATTTATTTGAACTAAAGACAAAGGTAGGCTGTGTAGTACAACTACATTTAAAAGCGTCATCTATTTTCTTTCTTTTTACTGCACCCAATATAGTTTTAGTATGCTCATGGCGCACTGAGTCACTGAACCACAAGAATAGATGGAAACCAGTTCAGGTCTTTGGTATATATACAGCCCTGATTGGCTTGAACATCATTCATTTGGAGCTTTTTGGTGCATTTGAACTTTTTCTTTTCCCAGGGTGAAAAGGTCTATGAGCAATAGGGATGGAACGGATTATGAAAACCGTCCGAACCGTTCGGTTCGACTGTCTCGGTTCGATTCTCGTGTGTTGCGTTCGGTTCATGTGCTGCTCCTTTTTCTCATAGGTGAAGCGTGTACACTCCAGAGCAGAAGGTGGCGGTACTGCGACCAAAGCCAACCACCAGTAGTAAACAAGAAGAAGGAGCGAAGCAGCGTAGCCGGGTGTAGCAGAAAAAAATCAGTTGTGTGTTGAGAATTGTGTGGGTATGGCGAGTGGGAAAGAACAGGAGTTGGAAGACGCGCCAGCAGCACTTTATAGGTCTGCTGTATGGGACCGCTTTGCATTTAGAGTGACCTACGATGACGGCGGAAAGAAAGTTGTGGATAAAAGTGCAACAGTGTGCAAGCATTGTGCAACACGTTTTGTTTATGCTAACAACAACATGACCAAAATGTCATGCTAACCCCGAAATACCACATACTCCGTCAGCATTCCGCTTCACCCCGCTGCGCTCCAGACCGGCTGCAAAAAGCAAACCATACAGCCTTCACAGTGTCTCCCGTCCGTTCCGCTCTGAGTTCCTTGGAGATCGTAGAGGGCATGCGCAAGATGATTAAATTCAAAGCAGCAAAACATGTGGAAATGAACCAGGGTTTTCCGCAGATCATTAAAAATAATTACAATTCATAAATTTTTGGGGATTGTTTCATCAATTTCATTAATTTTTATGGAATTTCGGTGTAACAATCAACATATACCGAACCAAACCGAAAACCGTGACCACGAAACCGTGAACCGAACCGAACCGTGGATTTTGTGAACCGTTCCACCCCTTATGAGCAATATCACTGGTAACTGAACAGATGAATTTGTTGGACAGCATTGATTTTAGTGTGGAATTTATCTAGTTGAGAGAGGGTTAAAACTATACTCAAAGGTTTTGGTAAAGTTATCTGGCCAAGAAATATAATTAGTTCCATCTTGAACTTTTTTATAAATTTAACAACTCTCTGGCCCAAACATGACCACCGTTCCTATAACAAATGGTAAAGAGATGCAAGGTTACGTCAGCCATTCTTGGCCCAGTTTATCAGGACATTGACTGCCTTGTTGCAGTGGGATGGCATTAACAGTGCATATAAGTTTAAGAAGAAGCAGAGGAAGAGCAAAGCAAGAGAGCAAATCCCAGTACAAAAAGAGATTAAAATGTCTTGTAGGTCTAAGTGGAGTAAGGTAAAGGTGCAGATGAATCAAATGAGGAACAGAAACTAAATGTAACAGACTTTTTGTGTTTTTCCCTTCTCAATTGGTGCAGTACCAGAGATATTGCGTCAGCATTCTGTCAAAAGTCCACACACACAATAAACAGCAAACAAGCTTTCATTTACAGACGCTCCTAAACTAGTACTCATTCTCATGTTTAGCATGTTACACGCGCAAAAAGAGAACGACAGGACCCCAATATCTCACACACAAGTGCTTGTCCTTGTTTGCGCACGTGTTGTTTGTTTTCCACGCGCAAGAAATTTTTTTCCAGCGCAAGGGTGGACCCGTTTCTGCTTGCTCCGGTCAACTTTTATTAGTTTGAAGGCATTACATGTAGCTACAAGACAAAGGAACCCACCTGTGATTGGCTTCTCTTCAGCAAATCCCGCCTCTTGAGCCTGCACACTTCTTCCTACAACAAAGCAACTTTAGGCTATCCGAGTTGGAAGGTGGTAAGCAAATTTATTAATAGATATAACATGGTCTGTATGAATACTGGATTCTGATCGACTTTAGGGTATCCTTTAAAAATGGTTATAGGACGTCTATAAACAATGTTTAGGTCAGACGGCTTGATAGTCTCCGCAAGCTCAAACGTTTGCTGGAAACGGGAACAAAGTTTACACTGGTTCCCCTGGCAATGTGCCACAACTCTAGAGGTGGGATTTTCTGAAAAAAGTGGAATAAGCAGAAACAGATCCACACACAACAAGGAGGGAGGCTACACGTGCGTGGAAATCAAACCACAAGCATGCAGAGAAAGAAAAAGCACTCATGTGTCTGATATATTGGGCTCCAGTAGTACTCCACTGAGGAGTATATGAGCGTCTGTATGAAGCAAAGCTGCTTGTAGGAGTATTTATTGTGCATGTTAGCTTTTGGCAGAATTGTGAAGCCATACAGTGAGATACTGAAACTTAAACAATCGGTCACCTGAAATCGTTTGGCCTGATCTAAACTCTTGTGAACTTCCCTAAATTGGCATGTGTTGCTGATGGGAGCAAGCCTTTTCTGTTGAATGGGTTTTACAACAGCAATGTTTTAAGACTGACTTTAAAAACCTTAAAACACACTGCCAACTGTCAGAGTGGTGGTGGCAGCCTTATCTTCTGGTTAAGGTTCTCTATCACATAAAGTGGGAGTGCGTTTGTTTTAGGGGGAAAAAGGAAGAGGAAAAGTACACGTGTGTGCTAGATAAAGCCAATAAAATGTTGAAAGACTACCGACAGATTCTACAAATTCCACATAATTTCAATGGTTGGTGAAGTAATGAAATCCAGCTAAATATATCAGTGTGGGATAATCCAGACAATAATCCTAAATGTCCATTATTTGGACATCTAAAAGCCAGCTAATGCCAGTAAACATCCTTTTTGGATGAGCTCTACTAGTTTTGACAAAAAGAGGGTCTAATACCCAAAGTACATCAAGAAACAGCTTGATGATGGGTGTAAAAGAATGACATTTTTCTTCAGCTAGTTTGAAGACAAATATCAATATACCCTTCCAGAAATAGATAAAACCCACAATTAATTCACACAGTGCTTTTTATAATAGTCCAAATGAATCATTAAAATGTCCAAATATGACAATAATGGCTGTAAGGGGTGAATGTAAACTGTGGATTAGGACTGTTCGTATATGTATGTCACACAGAAACAAAGAAATAAAGATGTTTTTAGCACACAAGGGATAAGAGAAGAATCGCTGTGATTGTATCACTGCAGTGTCTCATATCAGCTCCAACCAGTGAAACCAAGCCTACCAGACTGAATGTGCCACTTCTGATCACAACCAGGGCTTCTACTGTGCAGGGTGGCGGGCACTGAGCCTACTTGCTTTTTCAAGCCTTGTACTTGGCAGACTATTTCTTAAGCTTTTAAAGAAACACTTTTTAAGAGGAACGACAAAAGTCTTTTTTGGTTTTCCCAATTTTAAACTCCTGCTGGTCCCTTGGAATCTATTTGACTGACATAAAAACTAATGTAGATATTATTAATGGTATATACACAACCAAAAGATTACCAGCATTTACAATATTACATATGGGCATGGGCCAAATTTCTAGTTTACGAAACAGGATTGAAAGGTAAGGTTTCAAAATGTTGCAAATATTTAAACAACAAGGTGAATCTGCCTTTACATCTAGTCTTAATTTGGACATAATGTAAACTAATTGAAGACCTATTCTTATCTTTGTGAATGCATCCCATAGTAATGGTCAATCATAATTAAAATCATACATTTATGCTAAAGATAGTTGTGTCATACTGTGTTGCAAATGGGAATTATTCTTGGTATTAAATAAAAGCTCTTTGTCAGTTTTTAGATTTTAATGTTTTTCTCTTTGTATTGTTACTGGAGAGAATCTAAAACCGACCCATGCCCATTTGTAAAAATACGTATGCTATTCAGTATCAAACAGGGCTAATACTGTTAGATGGTTCTGCAGGCAGTCAGTCTTTGAAGGAGAACAAAATGAATTTACCAGTTCCACCGAAGTCACCTTGAAAGGCACAAGCACTGCCCAAAGAAGAGGAAACGTGCCAAAGTTGTGTCAAGGCAAAACACGAAGACCTCCAAAACAAGAGACGACTGGTTCAATGTTCACAAGCTTAAACATGCTGCATTCTGTTGGTTATTTGTAATTCACTTTTGTAAATTTCAGTAATTATATTGTAGCATTTAGAAATAACTAGATGTTTATCTGTATCTTACAGAAGTGCAATTGATTTATTATGTGCAATACTGTATTTTCTACTGTTTTTAAAGAAAAATTTAAAATAAAGCTATTTAATATCCTAAAATTGAAAAAAATAAATAAAATAAAAACAAAATATCTATACAGATCTCAGAGACTGCAGCAGACTGGTTCATTACTAAAGTGTGCAAATATTAATTAAAATGTCTTAATGATAAAATCCTTTTCAGCAGTACCAATCACACATTGCACCAGTTTGTGCAAATTGCAACTGAAATTACCATAACAACAGAGTCGAGAGATTGAAAAAAAAAAGATTGCTTTCATCTAATTTTGCATCAAATGTTTAAAAACTGCTGAAAAGCTGAAACCCTGGCCAAAACCCTCTGCAGCCTGAACAGCTGCAAAAAAAATCAAAAATAATTAAACACAATTGGGAAAATTTGCATTGTGCTCTTAGAAAATAAATATACATTTTTATTTGCAAATGCAATACAAAATAAAGAAATAAATTCTATGAGATAACCTGCAGAAGATAAGGATGAAAACACAGCTGTGCCTTTGATGTGGAGAAGGGACAAAGACACGAGAGTGGAATACAACAGAGGGTTGAGCAGTGCGGAGCTTTTTTCCTGCCTTGTAGCCTGTTTCAGGGCATCAAAGCCGTAATGCGGTTGGACCAGAAACAAAGTGCAACCAGAACTAGACACGAACAGAGGACCAAACTCTGAACAAATGCTCCAGTGACGCAGTGAGGAAGAGAGATTCTAGTGAAGATGCGTGTGGTAGTCTGACCCGAGGGCAACTATCCTCTGAGTTACAGTAATAGTGAGACAACAGGCTGCTCCTTTAAGTGGTTGCTTAAAGAACATATTACATCTCACTGGCTTTTACACATTTTCCTTTATTGTTTAATATTATCAGTTCGCTTCAAACTGCTGCCTAAAAAAAAAAGCTACATCTCTCAAATGTGTTGCTGAAAATCATGAAAAAGGGGCCCAGACTGATAACTAGGTGTTTGAGGCATTATGATGCATCACCATATCTCACTATGCTTTTCTGTGAGCTCTGCAGCAGCCTGGCCAGCAGGAGAGAGAGAGAGAAAGGAGGATGACGGGGGAAGGAGGGGGAGGGGGCAAAGGCAAAAAGATGGAAGGAGGGAACAGATATG